ATCCCAAGTTCAACAACTAAGAATTGTGTTCACGCAAGTCAACATTCTACAATCACTTGTAACATATACAATATAATTTAAAATAATCAAATCACCTGGAATTTTAAAGTACGAGAATTCAGAGGTCTCTGAGAGTTAAGCATTTTTCATTCTGTGAGCCAATGTACTTAGGAGGCAGGAATATTGATAAGTTTGCTTTGTGTAGAATGAAAGCATATGGATTTAATTACTTTTACATGTAGCACTCCTGAAATCAGAGCCAAGATTAAACGAGGAAAATATGTATCCTATACTAGTTTACTCTTGAGAACTATTTTGACTAGCATGCAACTTTTCCTATTTTGTGAAATTCCTTTTCTCTACTGTTTAGTCCATGACCCAGGACTTAAACTTTAGTATTTCTTCACACTATACATGGTAGGGTAGGTGCCCTGCTTTGATCTGGTGGATAGTTATGGAGATGGTGGAAAAATAAGGGCACATCTGAGAGGATAAAATTCAACCGATAATGACCAGTTATGAAAATTAGTCTGGACGTTTTATCAGATTATCAAAATTATAAATGGTGGGCGGAAGCCTGATGCAGATTTCTTATAGTGGCTGTGTGAGCTCGGGCAAGTCAGTCTGTGGGAATCAGTATTTTTAATTTAGAGAAAAAGTTTGGGTCATGATTATTAAATTATTAACACTCCTTTTAGATGAATACTTACATCACTCTAAATTGCATACCTACTTTCAGATACTGCTTTGGCAACAGTGAAAAATATCTGTTTCAATACGATTTAAAAGAGTAAATGCACTACTAACACTTGAAAAATATGATGCTCTATAAACCACTAGAATATTGTTATCCCTGAACAGTTTATTTCTTTCATTTAGAAAACCTTAACCTCCTTCTGATCTAAAATGCTGTGTTGTTTACTTATGTAACACTATTATTTTCTTGATTATTGAAACTTAAATTCTGCATAAAAATTACTTTTTATTACTAATACTTAAATTTCTAGGGAAATGTTTTTGGTAATATTTTCAAATATTCATTAAATTTCTATTTCCTTTACTTTGAAGTGTCAGCATTCTTTAAGTGATACAATTTAATAATCTGAAATCTATAGGCTTATCCTATGTTAATTTAAAATTCCCTGATAAATTAATGAAAATTTAATCAACAAATTTCTACATCAATGATTTTCAATCTTTTTTATCTCGTGGCACAGATAAACTAATTACTAAAATTCCTCAGTACACCAAAAAAAAATATATGTTTTGCCAATCTAACAAAAACATTTTTTTTTAATTCATTCACACTGGATGGCTGTCATAGTGTTGGCTCTTGTCATTTTTTTATTTAACAATCTAAGGCACATGTGTCAAACACAAGGCCCGCGGGCCAAATCCGTCCCGCCAGGCCTTGCAATGTGGCCCGCACCGCGCTGTCATCACTGCACTCTGCTGCGTTTCCATCACAATGATAGTTTATGACTGTTCAGTAAACCATTCGGCCCGTGATTTAGGCTGGATTTTAGATTTTGGCCTCTTCTCTGATTGAGTTCGACACCCCTAATCTAAGGGAAAAGAGGTCAGTGTCCGTGACTAAATAGGGAACATGTTTTAAAAATTCTTGTAGCATACCAGTTAAAAACCACTGATATACATTGATATTTGAGACTTTTGAAGGAAATATGGGGTAACCATATCCTTTAAATAGATGAATATATTCAGGAGTCTGTGGACAGGCTTGGTTATCTCCTTGAAATCTCATAAGGTAAAGAGTACTATATTTTTGCCTAGCTCCCAAAAGTCAGCTTTATTTCTGCTACAGGAGAAGAGTTGACTTCATTCAACTAGATAATTCAATCAGCACTGGTTGCTATAAGCAGGAATGAATATATATATATATATATATATATATATATATATATATATATATATATATATTTTAACCAAAGTAAAAGTATTCTTTTGAAGGAAATTGCTTGTTAGATCTTTGCAAACATCTCAATTTCCCTTTATATCCTACCTCACAAGCAATGCTAAGGAATTAGATTTTTTTTAGGAGGTCCCTAAGTACAGGTCACCTCCATATTCTCTTTTGAGTGCTATGACCTAGACTGACCAGGAAAGCAAAGATTTCTTCTTATATATGTCAAATAGCCATTATCAACCCTATCTATATTAACCTCATATATATTCGAAATAGGGAAATATAGGGCTCATGGTAGTCAATAATAAAAAAAATGGACATCTATTAAGCCATATGTGCCATATAATTTACATTAATTAACTTCACTCAATTCTGACAACTTAGATGTGATAATGGTAACCCAATGAATGTGATAATGTAGAAGAAAATGATCAGGAAGCTGAAATATATATTAATGTGAAATCTATGACACATTTATGATGTCATAGCCATAAAAGTAGCTATCCTTTTTTTCTATTTTTCCTTTTACTTCCTGGAATTTGCAAATATCTTTTTAGCTTGAACAGCGAATTTGATACAATAAGCACTTAGCAATCTATTCTGGTAGGCACTGTGTTTGGTACTATGGGGGACACACAGATAAGGCCCTAAATTCCATGTTGATAATACATGTTGCTGGTAATAGTGTCAATTTCATGAAGTAGTCTCCTAGTTCAGGCTATATAAAAATGTTGTTTATTTGTCTGTAGCACTGATGTGACCTTAGAAAGGAATCCATGACATTTTTCTTACCTTGCACATTCACTGTACCGAGATTAATTCTCAGACTGACTATCTTTCTGAGTGACTATCTCAACGCCTATGTTCCATAACTGCTGGGCTTTCTAATATTCTAATACTAAATACAAAGCATTTGACTAAATCCTTAAATGCTATGAATTCTGTTTTTATTTTATAGATGTCTACAGCTATTTCTTAAGTGAAAGATAATCTCTGGATAATAATAGGTGATTGTAGGATCTGAGAGGTAAAACGTGTGTGTAAGAGATTGATATATAATTTTCCCCTTGAGAAAATTCTCTGGGGCCACAGGAGAGCATGAAATGGGTATGAGGCTTTTGGAGGGCGGCCCACTTCATCAGCTCTATCAAATCAATTCAGTCACATGCTCAGAGTGTGGCAACTTACTTGATTTCTCTGAGTCTCAGTATTTTTATCTGCAAAATGGGACTAATAACTACCCTGATGAGTTGTTGTAAAGATGGAAATAACATTTGTAAAGATCCAGCAGAGAGAATAAAATAGGTGCTTAATAAATAGTAACTGCTTTTCTCATCCATTATTGCATTATACATTGGCTAAAGAAGCATTTCAACTCCAAGAGTGTTCACTTGGTCTGTGATAAACTATCTGACCAGTTCAAGTATGAATCCAATTAGTACAGGGATATGCAGAGATCTAATAAGTTAAAGCTGATTGGACTTTTTCTACAAATTACCTTCCTACACAGCTGTTTTCCAAATATAAGCTGTAAGACTCTGGGTTAAAGAACAAAAAGAGCCTTTATCACCTTTATGGCTTTAGTTTGGAAAAGAATCTATAGTAATAATAGAGAGATATGCACATTATCTGTTACACTGTCACATCACGAACAGATCAGCAGACTGTGGCCCCACCCTCTGCTCAGGCAGCTCCAAGGGCCGGGGTAGGATAGGATACAATAGGAGGAGACAAGACAGGAGAGGGGAGGAAGGCAGGTCTGCATGCAGACAGGCAGAGAGAAGAAACAGAAATACAGAAAGTGAATAAGAAAAAGACGCAGGAATGGAAAAGGGAAGGAAACATGGCGCTGCACGCAGGAGGTGGTGACTGCATGGGAGAGTGGGAGAGCAAGGGGGAGTAGGTGTGCCTGGCGAAGGGTGCAGCGGGGCCCCACTCCCCAATCCAGACGCAGAAGGAAGGCAGAGCTGTTGGCAGGGAGGCGCCCATGAGCCCGGGACAGAATGGTGGACAGTCGGAGGCCTTCTGGGTGCAGGCGCTCCTGCTTGGCAGCAGCAGCAGCGCCCAGGCTACTAGGGCCTCAGCCACCCAGGCAGGGAATGGGAGCAGGACAGTGGAGGGGAGGTCAGGCAAGCGGGGGAGCGGTGAACACCTGGCTGGGGCTGAGCCCTGGGCTGGGGGTTAACGCCCCCCTGAATGGAGCTTTAAGAAGGAAGGAAGGGAGGGAAGAACCGTATAAAGGAGTCAGTAGAGAGCAGAGTTAGAAAAGGAAGAGGGTGTGTGTGTGAACTGTAGGAGCTTTAATTAAAATGAAGGATAGTCGTGTACTGGGGACAGATTTTAAAAGTAAGTGAAAAGAACAAAGATAAATGATGGTGAATAATTAGGCAGGTGGATAGATAGATATTAAAACAGTTGAAGTAAGTAGCGAAGTATATATGAGAAAGATAGGATGGGAGAGAAAGAGGGAGAGAAGAAAAGTTTTAAAGAGGAGCTGGTAGAGCTTAAAAGAAGAATGGGAAGAAGGAAGAAATGGGGCAGGGAGCAAAGCAGGTCCGAGGGAGGAAGGAAAAAAAAATTAAGGTGGGAAGGAAGGAAAAGGGAAGGGAGGGAAGGGGTAAAGATAAAGGAAAGGAGGAATGTGGGGAAGGAAGGAGGGTAGGAGAAAGATGGCAAGAAGGATGATGGAACAGAAGTAGGAAATAAGGAAGAAAGAAAAGTTTATAAATGATGAGTCAGTAGGAAAAAGTGTTCCATAAAGGAGAGAGAAAAATTGTGTGAGAGGAAGAAGCCAGCAAGGAAGTCAAATGCAATTGTATGTGAAGGGGATAAGATTTAAAGAGTTAATAGGCGTGACCAGGCCAGCAGGGGAGGGCAGTTAGGGGTGACTAGCCTGCAGGGTAGGGCAGTTAGGGGTACCAGGCCAGTGGGTTTGGGGGGGGGGTAGTTAGGGGGATCACACAGGCAGGCAGAGTGGTTAGGGCAGGCAGGCAGGTGAGGGGTTAGGAGCCAGAGGTCCTGGATTGCAGGAGGGATGTCCAACTTCCAGTTTAGGCCTGATCACATAGGATGTCAACTGACAGTTGGACATCCCCTGAGGACTCCCGGATTGGAAAGGGTGCAGGTCAGCTGAGGGACTCCCCCCCTCTCCCCCTCAACCCCGTGCAGAATTTCTATAACTAATGTTTAAGTATATCACTACCATGGAATAGATATCTTTTTGGTATCACTGAAACAATAAAGCAACATGAAATTTAAAAAGACAAATTTCAGAGGTCTGCTCATAACAAAGTGCCTGTGATTGTCACATAAGCCTAGAATAGGTAAAGTTCATTCATATTAAAACAAAAGGCAGAATTCTTAAAATGTTTCAATAATTAGCATTCTACTTAACTACTCCTCAGTTGACCAAATTACTGAATTACTCCTCAGTTGACCAAAACTCTAGCTTACAAAGTGCAAATGAAACTGCTTTGAGCTAAAGATCAATTTAGAAGAAATAATACTTCCCAGCAACCGTTCATTTAAAAACATGAATCTAGATGTACAATCATATATAAATTCAATTATTTCCATAATTATTGTTTCTAGATGGTTTCCTTTTTCCTATTGGGAACAAACATACTTAAATAACATAAACGGCACAGTGAAAGCGATCACTGATCACCTGACTGTCAGAATCCTCAAGACATGATAAAGGGTATTTTAAAAGGAAGAGCATTCTGATGATTAGAGCTTTTCATTTGAGGCAGTTTATCTGTAGTTCAAAAACCACTTTCAATGTTTTCACTGGTTAAGCCCCAAAGCATACTTTTTATGACCAGCAGAAGCAGCTGGCATTTAATTTAAAATAAACTATTCTAACTATAAATAACTGGATACATAATTTTAAACCTATCGCTAACATTACTGAATTAATAACTAAATACTGTAAGAAGTAGAATTATCAAATCACTTTTGAGAACACAGTTCTGCTTGGAGGACTCCATGGAGGAAGTGCCTCCTTTTCAAGAAAGGAGTGACGTTTCTTTACTTTTCGTTCCATTCTTTCCTGCCTTTCTTTCTTTTCCTAAAGAGAAAAGAGAAAACTATAAATTTATATATATGTATAAACAGAACAAAATAATCCATTATATTTAAATTTCATTTCCCAGTTTAATTGGTTATAAAGAAATAGCAACTAGGGAATATTGCTAATTTATAAGTATACAGTCTACCAATAGGTATTAATGCATCAATTAATTTTTTAAATATTAAAAGTGATATTTAAAAAGAATTATGTAAGCCAGGGAAAAAACCCTGTAATTCCATAACCCAAAGACAATGATTGATTTTAAGTTAGTTCTCAGAAATGAAATTATTGGTTACAAAGGCTGAACAGGCCACGGCAGCAAGGAATACTTCAGACCTTTTACAAACAGTTGAAAATTGAGCCTCATGTTTCTTTGCTTATTTTTAAGCTTGAGCCCTTTTGTAAGTTTTTTTCTCAATTATTTGGGTCATCTTAACTGTATGGGTATCAGCATTTTTAATTTTTAGCAAGTTACATCTCTCTATATATAAAATCCTAAACCACGGGTCAACTGTTCGACTGGTTGCTATAACTTGCACTGACCACCAGGGGGCAATGCTCAATTCAGCGGGAGCGCCACTCAGTTGACTGACAGGACTGGATGCCAAGCTCACAGCTGGCAGCAGTGGCAGGCACAGTGGGGTTGGGATGAGCAGGAGTGACTCAGCGCCCAGCCCAGGCTCAGGCTCCTCGCTTGCCACACTACTACATCCCTCAGGGGATGTGAGACTGCCGGTTTCCCTGGCCTGCAGGTATCAGGCCGAAACCAGCAGTCTGACATCCTCTGAGGGGTTCTGGATTGCTAGGACACAGGCCAGGCTGAGGGACCCCACCAGTGCACGAATCCGTGCACCAGGCCTCTAGTTATCATATAATAAATATTAGCTTTGCAGCAAACATTTTATTTACATTACGTTTAGTCCTTGATTTTTTACAAAAAAATAAGATAAATATTTCAGGCACACACAACAGTTTAAAGAGTGATGTGATCAAAACCTGTGTAGCCTTATGAAATAAAACATGCAGCCAGGGGAAGGAAGGCCCATTCTTGCATGAATCTTCGTGCTTTGGGCATCTGGTATAGAATAAATGCATTAGCAAACAAAACCTACCAGCCATTTTTCATATTCATCAATAGCTTGTTTATCTTTATCTCTTTTCTCAGCTCTTTTCAGTTCTTCTTTCCTTTTCTCACTGATTTTCTCTTTTCCCTTTTCTTTGAAAAAAGCTTCCTTTTTTTCATTCCTATGTAGGATAGTATAAAACACTGGAAAGTTAAAGGAGAACATATAATAAAGATTTCCTAATATATCTTGGAAATAATGAGATTGAAATGCACTAGTAAATTTCAAGTAAATAATTTTTAGAAATCCTAGAGTGCTCTCAATTCAAATAGGTCAGAATATTATTTTGGATTACCATTTTTCCACAGCAGTTTGGTTGTCTTTCTTTTTCTCAGCAATAGTTTCCTCCTCCTTCTGTTTCTTTGCTCTTTCATATTCTTTTTCCTTTTTATTTTTCTCTTTAAGATATTCCATCTTTTTTTCCTTCCATCTTTCAAAAGCCTGAAAAAGTCCAGAATGAATTTCTGATTTATTAAAAATCAGTAAAAACACAGTCAATCACTAATTTAGATTTCAAATATTTAAAATAAATTAATATATTCAAAGCTGTCTAGTACATGTTGTGCTTCTTTTCTCACAGCACTTTCTTCTTCAGTTTTTTTCTTGTTTTTGTCCTCAAGCCTTTTTTTTGCAGCTATTTTCTTAGCTTCCTTTTCCTTCATAGCCTTCCAGGCCTCAAATGATGCTAAGGCTTCTTCTCTCTTAGCAGCTCTTTTCTATTTTGGAGAAAAAGTGGATAGTTATATATGCATGTACAAATAGCTAGACAAATATAAATACACCCCCAATTATATTTAGCTTTACTTTCCTAGATATGCATCATATATAGAAATTATGTTTCAGAGCAGATAATTTATTTAGAATGGTTTATACAAATTAATTTATGAAAAATATATTCTGAATTATTTGTATTTTAAAATGTCCTTTACAAAAATACATTTTATCAGCTATTGATCTATTACTATTCATGGGAAGGAAAACAACTTTTTGTTCAAAGTGTACATCTGTAATAGGCTCAGTAGTACTGTAAAATGTTCATAATAAAATACTTAAGTAAAAGAAAAATAGCAAAGTGCTAGGCTTATAAAGAAAGTCTGAGTAAGGAAATTTGGCCACAACACACAGTAAGCTGCAGATTTTGCTTTGAGCAGAGTTTTGTTTGACATCAAAGCATAAAATTCTTACTACATAAACATATTCCAATGGTGAACATGTGGCAGACTGGAAAATATGTAGGTGAATGTTGATAGCAAGTATGTTATATTACTTTACTTACTTCCATCTAATCCCAAAATATCCCATGCCTGCCTTAATATTGGTTAACATTAAGTGACATAAAGCTTTATTATGTAGAGAACATAATTTAGTAGTAAAAGGACTACCTAACTCACTGAGTTGTGAAGATTGAATGAGAAGCGTCTGGCACTGACCACAGCAGTAAGATGCTGCAAACGTGGTGACAGGTGTACAGACATGCCCCATTCAAAAGGCTGCTCCACACAGTACTGTGTTTGGGAAATTTCTAAACCTACTTAAGTACTATACAGCATAATGAAATGTTTTTGTTATTGCTGGTTTTTTTTCAGGACTTTTATTTTAGAAGGTGGGAAAGAATTCAGCATGTTGTAGGCTATCAAGTAGGACTTAGAGGCAGAGCATGAAGCACAGGAGAGAATTAAACAAGAGTTCAGCTCCAGTCAATGGGAAGGATATGGATCAAGAGCTCAGGTAGGGCCTGCTCTTAAAGATACGTATGAAATCCAAGTTAGAAAAAGGAAGACTGAAGGTTAATGTTGATGACCCTTTATATTCTTGGCTAAATTGTAAGATTGAAATCAATTTTTAAGAGTGAAGTAGGTAGGTAGTCACAAGCAATAACTAAGTTCATAATCAGTAGTGCCAAAGCTATTCCACACACATAAAAAATAAAAATCTGTGTACCTGCTTTTCATGTAAAACAACTATATTTATATCAAGCTAAAAATGTATACAGCTCCAGAGAAAATCAGAAATCACTTCTTTTATATACAAGTTACTCTGCCATTTAAAAAACAGATGATTTAAAAATACTTAATATTGAGATATTTTACTGACTTAAAAATCTAGAATATTTTTTATTATGTTTCACAATACCTGCTCATTTTCGATCTTTGAATTTTCACTTTCAATCCTTTTAATTCTGTGCTTTTCATGTATTTTTAAATTTTTCTTCTCTAACCATTCCTATGAAAACAAAAATAAAGCTATGATATTCAAAGTTTCCCAAATGAATTTGAGTTCTTATATATTTCTGAATATTAAAAACTATAGAAATCAAAATAGATTTTATGAATTCTATATAAACCAGTATCATTTTTCTTTTTCCAATAATATTCTAATATATAAACATTGCTCAGGTTTTATAAAATAAATATTTCCCAATAAGTTAAGTATTAAATCATCATTTCTGACAGGGTAATTTTATTCCTTGATAAACAGGTAACCTTATGTGATTATTCTTTTTTTAATATATATTTTATTGATTTTTTACAGAGAGGAAGAGAGAGGGAGAGTTAGAAACAGTGATGAGAAAGAAACATCAATCTGCTGCCTCCTGCACATGCCCTACTGGGGATGTGTCCGCAACCAAGATACATGCCCTTGACAGAGTGGAACCTGTGACCCTTGAGTCCGCAGGCTGATATTCTATCTACTGAGCCAAACCGGTTAAGGCTGTGGTTAGTTCTTATAATTATTATTATTGTTGTTATTACTTTTTACCTGATAAACAGCTGCTCTTATGTTATCTGCTTTGTTAGGTTCTTTGTTCTGTTTGTGTGAGGACTTTTGATCCAAGACTTTCAAAGTCCCTAAGTAGTGAGAAGAGGTGGTTTTCAATGGAGTTCTTATAGAACTAGAATTCTTTAAAAATTCAGAGGTCATTAATCTGAAAAATAAATAATAAATAAATAAATAAATAAAGATAAAATATTAAAATTGCACTTCATTGAAAAAGATATGTTAGAATTTGCAAACTATATTCAAACAATAAATTATAATTGATTTGAATATCATGTATGGTCTTTTCTTATTATACAAAGAGACCTATTCAACATATTTAAAATTTTATAACTCCAGTTATATAGCTTCAAAGTGACTGCTCTTTTTGGTATTTGCAATGCGAACATTTTTAACAATGTTCTGTATCACAAATACATTGAAAAAAACCCACAATATTAATAAAGTAGGTTTTAACAGTTTCTTATTTTATTATGTAAACTATTCTAAATATAAAGTTAGAATGGTAACCTCTATTTCAGGGGTTGGTGGGAAAATCTGGCCCATTTTCTATTTTGGTAAAAAAAAAAAAAAAGTGATCATCTGTTTTGGTAAAGAAGCTGACCAAGTCACAGCTACATTCACTCATTTACATCTCGTCTGTGGCTGCTTCCTGGCCTCTGTAGCAGAACTGGGGAGGTACAACCCAGGCTGGATGGTCCACAAAGCACAACATATGTACCACGTGGCAACAACAGCATGCTGACCCCTATTCTAGTTGATTAACTATCATTTGATTAATGATAAAAGATGCCGAAGGTTTGATTAACATTTATGAGTTAGTGTTCATTATCACCATCATCAAAGTTTAACAACTTAGTCCATAGAACCTCAAATTTAAGTATAATTTTTCATGTTTTAGAAAAAAAACAACAACAGAGAAATATAATGCTGGACCTCAGCTTTATTACCACTTTATATCTACTGTCTCAGGAAAATCAGGAGAAACTCTATCCCAGAAGGAAGGTAGAGTATGGAGAATCCTAACCAACTAGGGGTTTCTATCATGAAGAAAGTACTCCCTTTATCTCCTAAGATGAAAATTAAGAGAAAATCAAGTAACAACAAGTGCAATTTACTTTACAGACGTTCAATTAAAACTAGCTTTGTGTAATGTAAACCCAGAAATAAGAGATGATGAGAACTTGATTACCTGCCAGAGGCACTGGATGCTCTATTATTTGCTGACTGTTTACTCTTCTTATTTCCATCTTCAGGTGTTTTCTATTAAACAGAAAAGGCTACAGTTGGATTACTTCCCATAGCTAGCACAGTGAGGCTCAGAAGTCAAACTGTCAGTAGTAAACAAATGTTTCTTAAATTTCCACAGGGTGTCAAGTACTCACTGAAAACAAAGGATGTTACATTTCAGAGAGAGCTGACTATCTATATAAAAGGCTGTTACTGACCATACGTCTGTCCAACCATCTAACCGTCCAGTACATGACACTCACTGCCAATTTAAAAATAAATGTTGACTCGCACATGTGTGATAACATATACCCAACTTCTCATTATTGATGAATACACCATGCATCCAGTCATGCTATAAATGCACAGACAGATTACTAAGAGAAATTATGAATTTGAATGTGGCATTTGGTGGGAAAGTTCTCCTTCTCGGAGGGGATTTTTGACAATGCTTCAGTGTTGTGCTGCATGCTATGCGATCGGCCATAGTACAAATGAGTTTGAAGTACTGCAGTGTCTGAGGATGTTTCTGACAGTTGTCTCTGAAAACAAATATGAGATCAGAGGATTCTGCTTACAGCGAATGGTTTGTAAAACCGGGAGATGGCGAACTTGATGGCAGTTTTTATTTAGGAATGGATGTTATTTTCCCCTGTGAAATGATTTGTATTGGATCTATTATTGAAGCTACCTTTGAAAATAATATATCTTAATATTATTTATATTAAAATATTATTTATATTAAAAATATACCTAAATATACGGTTCTATGTCCTAAAAACGAGCATGTTCATAAATTAAATAAAAAAATTTTGAATATACTTGGAGATTTTCACACCTATTTGAGTGATGATTCCATTGATTCAATGGCTGATGCCAAAAAGGAAAATTTTCCCATGGAATTTCTTAATGCCATGTCATAAACTAAAATTGAAAGTAGGTGCACTCATCATACTACTGAGAAATCTTAATAGTAAGTGGGGTCTTTGTAATAGTACTAGATTTATTATCTCAAGATTGCAACCTAACATAATTGAGGCTGCAGTATTAACAGGATCTGTGGAAGGAGAGGTTGTTCTGATTCCTAGAATTGATTTGTCCCCGTCTGACACTGGCCTCCCATTTAAATTAATTTAAAGACAGTATTCCATGATGCCAGCATTTGCGATGACCATTAATAAATCACAAGGACAAACTCTTGACAGAGTAGGAATATTCCTACCTGAACCCATTTTTGGACATGGTCAGTTATGTTTTGCTTTCTCTTAAGTTCGAAGAGCATGTGACATTAAAGTTGTAAATACTTCATCACAAGGGAAATTAGTCAAGCACTCTGAAAGTGTTTTTACTCTTAATGTGGAATACAAAGAGATATTAGAATAAGTTTAATCAATTTCTCATTCATTATTTATTCCAATGTTGTTTTTATATCATGTTTTTGTTGTTTTTATATCATGATTTGTTATTTTTATATCATTTCATGTTGTTATTGTTTATTAATCAATTTATATATGATTTTCATATATATTTTACTTATTTTCTTTCATCTCTGACACTTCTATTATAAAGGGCAAATATTTTGTATTTTAATTTTAATATATTATATATACTATTTTGGCATGTAATTCTTGCAGTAATGTAATTACTGCACGAATCTTCTAATTAATTTCCTTCCAATGTGCACAAATCTGTGCACTGGGCCACTAGTAAAAAGATAAACAAAGATGACTCATGAAAAGAGTCCAGTGACAGTGACTGGAGCTGAGGAAAGGGAGGGCCTCTCTGAGGGCTAGACATCAGAGCTAAGAAAAATGAACAGTAGAAAGGAGCCACCTGAAAGTCTGTAGGAAGAAGGGTCAGAAGTGCCAAGAGCCTGGGAAGGGAAAGAGTTTGGTAATTTTGAGAAACAGAGAAAGATGAATACTGCTGAAGCCCAGTGAACATTGGGGAGGGAGGAGGAATATGTGGACCATGTGTGTTACAAAAAGAATCCTGGGAAATCCTAGGGAATAGTGAGTTTGCACGTATTCTCAAAATGAGAATCCAACAAAGAGACCTTAGCAGGAGAGTAATTTGATTCCCAAATAAGAAAGATCACTCAGTAGCAAGTAAGAATAAAGCTAAGGATAGATTCAGTTAAAAGAAATATGATCTTGTCATATGTAAATTAACTATTTTCATTTAGAATTACTTCTGTTAGACATTTCTAAGATTCTATCTATAAATTCCAGAATACCATTCTTCCTTTTTAGAAATAACTTCTCTACTCTACACAGACAGATGAGTTGCTAGCATTACAGATATAAACATATCCCTAATCTGGCATTTGTCTTTATTCCTAAGGGAAGTGGTTAAGGACAATATATCTGAAACAAGGCTTAATGAACCTTCTCTATACATTTTAATTAAAAGCTAATAGTCTGAATTATAATAAAGTCCTATTCAAGCACAAGTTTTCAGCTAGCACTGTAATCTTTCCCAATAACAAATATACATAGCCATCAGTCAGTCAACTGCAGCTATAAGTGATAAAGACTAAATTCAGGAGAAATGCAGACTAAAATTGCTATGCCATAAATTTTAAAAGTACCACACTCTGGTGCAATGTAGCATAGGGACAAATAATCCTACACACCACAGATTTGGCTCTAAATATTACAATAAAATGTTTCTGATAATGACCCTGTCCATCCATTTTAACATGCATGGATATTGGTAAACACTTCTTCTTAAAGATTTTCATTAAAAATTGATAAAATGTTTAAAGATGATATTAAAACCTTGGCAATTGTTCCAGGTGGCTGCATTTTTAAATGAAGACCTATAGAAACCTATCCACTTATGTGTATGTATTTCTGATATATATAAAAGTATATTATCATATACTTCTGATAATTTTAATGAAAAATAAGTTTTATTATATTCACTATTATATTTAACTTCCGTGAAGTTAAAATTCTATTGAATTAAGAACCACTTGATAAAACCATAATCAAAGATGAATTTTCCACAGATAATTCAGAAGTATCAAACATGGAAAACAAAATAAAGTTGTATTTTGAGCTTTAAGATATAAAAGGTATAATTTTATTTGAATACCTTTGCAGATTCAATTGCACTGGAAGATCTTAAATTCTGCTGAGATAGTGGTGGGTCAACTGTTAAGTCCTCACTCATTACCAACTTAGCTTTCTCCTTGTTTTCTTCAAGGTCATCAGAAGTCACTTGCCCTTTTTTGGATTTCTCAAGTGCAGAAGTAACAAAGTCTATCAAAAGTGAATTATCTTCATTTTTGTCTGATTTCAAGGAATGATGATTTTCGGTGAATTCTTCATTCTGATCTATTTTGAGACAGAGTAATAGCACTAAAACTCCATTGTGAATTAATAAGGTAGATAAGAGATTCATTTGCTTCCCACTAAAGGTTATTAATTCCTTTTTCTTGCAAAATAAAATATGCAGAAATCTATCATACTCAACTTGAATAAACTTTTTTCCAGTGAACTACAAAAGAGAAAATTGTTACTCAACCAAGTAAAACATCTGACGTTCCAAACGCTTAGAAAATTAGTGAACAGTATGGAATAACTACCTTATACCAAAGACACACCAAAAGTGCTAGTTGATCTATAAACCAAGTAAGTCAGATGGCAATATCAATTGTCTTTAAAAGCCTGTTTCTTGTAAAAAGAGGCACTGCAAGTAAGAGGCACACATACCTACCTTATGCTACTTCCGTTCTTAGTAGAGCAGATGTAAAATTGTGTAAGTGCAGGGAGAACCAAGAATGCATGTCACTCTAGTATAGTCCACCACACAGAGAAAAGCCACCCTAGTCTAAAGAGTTTTATTCCCACTAAGATGCAGTGTTGCCTCGGATACCAAGGGGGCACTAAAGGCAATTTATTTTTGCGTTATTATTATATTATAAACAATAATTTGATATAATCACCTTTTATAGATGTTTTTTCCCCAGATACTGGTGAAAGGAAATCTCCAAAACTTTCTTTAAGGGATGATGATGATAAACTTGTTAACCATGGATCCTGCTTAAAATAAAAGATAATAAAAAAGTACTTATTATGTTAGGTCAGTTCTCAAGATTTATGGAGGACAATTGCATTATTAAAACTATTTCATAAGTCTGACACCTGGATTTTTAGGAGTTTGCTGATGCAACACCAAAAGCTTGTTAAAATAGTGGAGGTTCAGATGTTTTACTTTCAAGCTTCCATGTCTTGATCATTAAAAGGGATCACTACAGCCTTAGCCGATTTGGCTCAGCAGATGGAGCATCAGCCTGTGGACCAGAGAGTTCCCGGTTCGATTCCGGTCAAGGGCACATACTTTGATTGGGAGCTCCTCCCCAGCCCAGCCCTGGTCAGGGCTTATGCAGGAGGCAACCAGTTAATGTGTTTCTCTCACATCGATGTTTCTCTCTCTGTCTTTCCCTCTCTTTCCCACTCTCCCTAAAAGTCAATGAAAAAATATCCTTGGGTGAGGATTAACAAAAAAACAAAAATACACACACACACACAAAAAGGGGTCACTCCAGAGCTATTCTAGTTCTTTAACAAATACCTCTACATTTGTTTTTAGCAATTTTTAAAATTTCTGCTACTCTAAAATCAAATCTCATATGTATTTAAGGTAAAGATTTGATATCTATTTCTCTAATTCTCCATTCTAAGCATAAAGATAAAAATCCTTACTTTGAAACAAATATTAGTAGGTGTCCAAATGAAAGCAATTATAAAACCAAGTACATAGCTACTTACAAATATATAAGATTTTATGCACCTCAGTTTTCTTCAAAATTCTAAAAATTACACTAAATGAAATCATTATATTTGTGTGTCTAAAATAAACATTTCTTTATAGAACAGGAACCCAATCTATAGAGCAACTACTAAAATATAATGCAAATAGGTACAGGCAAAAAAGCAACAGGAATTACAAGGGAAAACAAAAAATATGTGACTGACGCTTATAAAAAGTCAGTAAAGAAGTTATAGAGGAACAGTAAGAACAATATCAATTAAAACAACAACAACAACAGTAAAATAAATACAAAGCAAACAGTAACAAATTAGCTCTATATGTACTTAAGATTAAAATGGACTGAAATAAAATAAAATCTTTAAAAAAAAGTAAATAGACTAAATATTTATGAATGCTCTAATGGACTCATATATGGACTACCACTAAAGGAGATTGTCAAACTTTATAAAAACATGACATTCAACTATTATTACAAAAGAGTCACTTAAAGAAAGAGGCACAAATAGTTTGAAAGAAAAATGATAGAAAAAAATTTACCATGCAAACAATCATCATAAGAAAGTTGACACATCACACAAAACAAACTGCAAGATAAGGAATATCACCAGATAGAAACATTTCATAATGCGAAATAGGGTCAAGACATAGTGTATGATATGTCTAATAACAGAGTCATAAAATACTGGCAAGCTGAAAGGAAGTACAGACAAATTTGCAAGCATAACGGGAGATTTTAACACCTTTAGGCGGTACTAGGAGAATCAACTAGATAAAAGTCAGTGAGAATGGAGAAGATGTGAATGATACTGCCAGGCACCTTGAGCAAAATAAAATTATAGACAATTATATCTAACATCTGCAGAACACATATTATTTTGAAAAAGCAAATGGAACTTTCTCAAGATACACTTAGGCTGGGCCATAATAATAACTTAACAATTTTTTAAAATTTGAAATTATATAAAATATATTCTTTGATCACAATAAAATTACAATAAAATCATTTGTATTGATTTATAATTTATCTAGAGAAGGTCCAAATATTTGGAAATAAAATAATTAGGCACAAAATAACTAATTGGTCAGAAAAAGTTGTCATAAGAGAAATTAGAAAATAGACAAAGAAATTAAAATAAATGGCATAAAAAAATTGGGTACTGCTAAAGCAGCACAGAGGGAAATTTATAGCTTTTAATGGTTTTATTAAGAAGGATGCAAAAGGCTTTTTAAATCAGTGAACACATTTTAAAGGTAAGCAAGTTAAACCCAAAGAAAAATAATAGAGTGAAGATCAGTGAAATTGAAACAAACTATAGAAAAAATTAACAAAGCCAAAGTTGGTTCTTTGAAAAGTTTAATAAAACTGAGCAATGCCTATCAAGATTTAACAAGAAAAATAGAAATTATAAGTTCTATCCTATATAATAAAAGGTTAATATGCAAATTATCCCCTCAACCGGGATTTCAATCGGCCTGCACCCTCCCATGTCCCCTCCCTCTGGTCAGCTCGGCACAATAGATTGGCACTGATCAGGTGGGCCGGCCAGACCCCATCCTTGCACGAATTCGTGCACTGGGACTTTAGTATTAGAAATAAAAGATAGAATGCCAGGATAACACAAATTTCTTAATGGAATTTAGCCAGGCACCATGTAGTTCCATTTCCCTGATCTGCTAAAGCACATTAGGGAGGAGGAATGTTCTTCCATACTCATCCCCTCTGAAATGTGAGGTGGAAGTTTGCTAATGTTAGTGAAGTGTAAAGACGGGAGCCACATGTTCTCCCCTAAAGATGATACATAGTAAACTTCCTGATGAAATCCTGAAAGATCACAATTACTTCCATTTTTTAATGGCCCTGAAAATATAGGACAGTGCCATCAACATTCAATAACTAAAACCAAACATTCAATAACTAAAACCAAATGAAAACACTGACACTGGCTACAATGTCCTTAGTCGGCATGGATAACAAAGGGTCACATAGCAAATCTTATAAACTCAGGGGAGGTGGGCCAAAAGAAACTGCATAGGGTGGTCTGAACATAAATTCCTAACTAAAAGCAGTCACATCCTAAGCCTAGGGCTTCCTTGACAAAGGTCAACCTTTACCTTAGGTGAGCCTATTATCTTTTTGCATCTAAGATAACATACCTTGGAAATGTCAATTCTCAGGGCACACCCACCTCACCAAAGCAAGAGGCCACAAAACCCCTCACTGTTACTTGTTTCCTGAATACCACCTCTGTGTGTAGTAAATGTTAATTGTTAGCTGTCCCAAACCCCGTAATGTAGAAGTATGCCTCTCTCCATTTTACTTTTTATCCAGATTTCCCTGCTTTGCTTTCTCCTATTCCTGAATCATTATACTACCAATGATTTCATGTATCCCTCCTGAGGTTCCTCCTTGGATTCTAATGTATAAAATAAGCTGCAAAACTGGCATTTTCCAGAAAATGTTCTCCATTTGTTGAGATTTTGCTTTGTGGCCACTGTTGTCAGTTTGGCTCAAACAAACACATAAAAATTCTCTACAGGTTTGGCCATTTCCTACACCAATAATGCAAATTATATAATGCAAAAATACATAAATAAAATGTAATACAAAAATAAAAATATAAAGTCTTATAATTAAAGTTATGCAATATTGCATAGATTCAAAAGAGCAACATTTTTTTTTTTTTACATTCTACTTTCTTTGAAATTGGATGCACATTATAATTACTATTGTGTTATGGTTTAATTGGCAGAATTTTATTCTCTCATGGCAGTGCACAATATAATGCTGTATCTTTGCTACATCTTACAATTGATGGCGTTTCAGACTCAATGAAATACAGTATATTAAAATAAACCATAGAATTATGTCTATATCCACTGCTGAAGAAAACATGTAACATACACACATACATGCATAGAAATTTTCTCTCTCGTGATTAGATGCCAAGGCCTGGATTGGAGAACACAGCTTGGCAGTTCAGCAGGAGTACTAACCTCAGGATCAAGGTCTTCAGAGAATGTTTTTTCCTCAGCTTCTGGCTGGCTGTCATTCGGCTCTGGGAGGGATGGAGGTGCAGGATGTGCCTCTAATTCTTCCCGGAGGGCAGCTTCTTTCTCTTCTCCTAGTCCATCTTTTTCTTCCTGGAGCCTGTGCTTTTTCAACATGCTCCTTGGCCGAGGTGAAGGTGTGAAGTGGTTTTCTGCTTTAAGGCTGCTGCTGTTTTCTGCTGAAAAATACAATGTTTTAAGATGGGTGTACAAAACCCCACAATGGCTTCAACAGCACCCCCAGGTGCCACCCACGCTTCCTCCTGTGCCCATGCACCTGGCTGTCTGTCCCCGGGAGTCCAGAGGAAGCCCATGGCCCTTCTTTACACAGAGCTCCAGTGAGCAGAGAGAAGCGACAGTTCATAATCCACATTTTTAAAAATGGCTGCCATCCTGGAAGTAACTTTAGTTTTGTGAGAAGTTAGCTCCTCTACGTTACGAATTCTCATTGCATTAAAATAAATACTAAAAACAAACAACGCCGGGCCCTATACAATGATGGGACTCGTCTCTAGCAAACCTTAATTGAGTCTGGGCCCTGTACATGTGACTCACATCCCTGGACCTCATAACTAGGACTGTGATGGTCCTGTCCAAGGACTTCACAGGTTGGGAAAGGAGTGGAGTCTAAAGAAATACATTTAAGACAAAGGTGAGAGCTGTTACAGGTATGGAGGTAATGTCGGTACAGGGGCTGGGAGTGCTCGATCTCATAGGAGGAAGCAATGAAAAACATTATGATTTGAGCCCTAGCTGGTTTGGCTCAGAAGCTAGAGCCTTGGCCTGTGGACTAAAGGATCCCAGAATGGATTCTGGTCAAAGGCACATGCTTGGGTTGTGGGCTCAATTCCCAGTAGGTAGGGGGGCGTGCAGGAGGCAAAAGATGTTTCTATTCTCTCCCTCTCCCTTCCTCTCTGAAATCAATAAAAATATAGTTTTAAAAATAACTTGATGACTTGAGTTGTTCTTTGAGTTCATGAAATTTCTCAAGCAGTCATTAAAAGAGCTCAGTTATTATTTCAATTACGTCTAGGTTTAAAATAATAATCTAATGCCAGTATACTTTCAGCCTTCAAAACATGATAACAAATTTTTGTATTAATTTTTGCCTAAATTTTACCTGTTCATATATTCATTTTTCCATTGTTCTATCAATGCAGTCTTCTGACAAAATTTCAAAACTAGACTAATTAACACCTTCCTCCTTTCTGCCTATAAATGGACTTACGAATGCTGCTAGAAGAGTCTACAACCATACCAGTTGGTACCAATGTAAATGCTTTATTGTCAACTTTAGCTACATCCTAAATGCTCAATCCAGATTCCAAGAGTCATTCTAGATTGTTCTCTCTGTTCCACCAAATCCAAGCATCACTTAATAGAATTGTGGGGGTGGGGGAGGGGAGATAAGGAGTGGCTCCCTAATACACATCAAGCATGTCAAACTAATGTTATCAGTGATATCTACTCTGTAAAAAATTTAATTTACCAGTACAATATTTAAGGTTGATAGAAAGGAAAGATAATTTTATGCCAGTTAACATCAAGTACTATTTTCCCTGTAAAACAGAAAAGAAGGAAGATCATGGGACACAAAACCCTTAACTTTCCATGCCTATGTTTCTGTGTGGTGGCTAGGGGACCCCAGAGGATGGAACTTTGGCCCACTGTGCCTGGAGCTCAGTGGAATTATGGAGAAACTACAGTAATTCCAGTTCACACCAGGAATTTACTCTCGAAACATTGAGTTTCAGGGGATTTTTCTTAGGGAATAGAGAAACTATATGGAGAATCCTCTTTCTAATGACAAGTCTAGAGGCTTAACAGCAAAAACAACAAAACTCTCTTCTTTCAACTATATATTGTAAATGCAAAACAATATTCTGGCAAATGGGGGCAGGGAAATTATTTTTAAGGACTAGTTCCAGTGCTGCCATAACTTCAATCCCTGGAGTATGAGATGGATTAGAAAGGATTCCATTGCAGTTTCATCCCTAAAAACAAAAGTAAAGTCATAGACTCAGGCAAGGCTGGACCCAGGAGCTTCCGGAGGCACAGGGGTGGATGAGTGAAGGTCCTTCAGCCTTCCATCAGGCACCAGCAAAGATGCTACACTAAATATATCTCTGGAAGTCCAAATTATGGGTTTCCTCCATGGTTCTATTATTTTTATTTATGTGTGTAAAGTTGAAAAGTTAAGTCTGATTATTTCCCCCCTCTTAAATATGAAGGCATTTTGTGCCTGGTTATCTTAAAATAACTTTTTAAGAAATGCAGTTATAGTGATCTAACAAATTACCTGAAGATGTGTTTTTGAGTGAAAGAATTCTGGGTTTAGGTTTCATTTGAAGTTTCTCTTTTTCAGTTTCCTGGTCTTCATTTTGAGACTCAGATAAGAAATTTGCAACCCTGTCTTCACAGTTCCCAGGCGCCATTTCCTCGTCTCTTTTATTAGAGAGGCTTGACTCCTCTGTCATTGGGTCACTATTTGATTTCTTAGTTTTCAAAAAGGACAGTTTAGGAGAATTATTTTCTTCATCATCTGATATCTGGAAATCATTCATTGTTTTCTTCAGTGAATTTTCATCTATGGAGGTGTCAGAATAATCACCTGAGGAAACTGAAAAACAGAAGAAAAAAATGTCTTCAATAGTATATCTTAAAGTTTGGAAGGTTTCATTAATCAAAAGGTTGCCTTAAAGATTATAAATAAACTTAGGCAGTTTTTATTAGTATTTATAAAATACAAATTTCAATTTCATTAATTTATTCAAAACATACTTATCAAGTGTGAATAGTGGTGCCAAGCATTGTCCTTACCCTGAGAAAAATCATCCAAAGTTTCCTCAAAATAACAGAAGGCCATGAGATATTTAGATTATGAACTGTAAAATGTTTATATATATAAACAACTTCATTAGATTTTACTATGAGAACAATAACACAAAATGTTAACTATATGGCAATGATGAAATGAATGATTCATTTAATCATAAGCATTTTTCACTGAATCTTAATGCATAAAACACTGAATTCCAAGTTTAGAATTCTGTATTTTTAATTCTAAATGTTAATATTTTTATATAATCAAAAGAAACCAAATTAAATAATACCAGTATTGAAAACTGAGCCCCTATAACAGCCAAAAAAAATCTAATTTATAAAAAGCATTATAAAAGTGATTTTGATGTGCATGGAAGTTTAGTTCTATGGCCCCTAATTATTAATTCACTGCAGAGGCTCATAGCATTAGTTGATCTTAAAAATGAAACTTAGTTTACTGCTGACAAGCATCCTTTTACTGCAAACCTCCTGCCAGTTAATTTATATTTTCATATTCACATTCAGAAACAACCAAGGATAATCATACAACTTCTTGAAAATTAAGAGTGAATTTTTACTCGATAAAAAGTTGGAAATCTAAACCTAGTGAATTCGTAAATATAATTTTAGCATAGTAATTTTTTTGAGGCATGAACTAACTATAACTAAGGAAACAAAAAGAAGAAAAGTGGTTTCTGTTCCATATTCTCACATACCAATCTCATCACTATCAAAGTCATCTGAGTATTCAGAGCTCCTTTGTCTGGCTGAGCGAGCTGTAATTGCTTTTATTAGCTCATCCTGAAATAAAAGAATTAAAATCAATTTCCACCCAAATATGAGGTATCATATTTAGAATTTTTTAAACGAAAAGTGCTTGCTTAATGATGGCTTTCAAACTCAGGTTTTATTCATCTAATAATATTCACTGAAAGCCAACCTATGCCAGGAACCCAAGTCCCAAGACTCAATGCAGAGCATTACAGATAAGGTTCCTCTCCTCACGGAGCTTACAGCCAAATTGGAGGAGATAAGATTATCAAATAAAGTAATTGAGGAGACTCAGGCAGGATGTATTATAAACTGGCATCTTGAAAGAAACTGGTACTTTTAAAGACCTTTTGTTTCTGAAGATTGCAGTTATGGATATAATCAACACTGCAAATTTAGAGGCGGAGTTCCATGTTGACTGGACAGAGAAAACTTCCATGTTGTTATGCTACAATAAGGAAAAACCATACAACATGTATATGAAAACACCAATTTAAAGTTGCTATTCAACTCTGAAAAGCTAACTTAACTTTTAAGTAAGAACCTATCATTCAGGCTAGTTTGGTAATCTTAAACACACAGAATGGTTTGTAATACCACAGCCCAAATACAACCACCTGCAACATTTTAGAAGCGATGTAAGTCTTACTCCAGCTTTATATAGGACTCGTTCAAAATTTAGTTCAAATCAAATATTCCTAACATAGTGTTTACTTATCAAACCATTTCAAATAATTTACCTGAAAAGTAGTCCTTTTGGTGACTTTTGGACTCTTTGTATATGCCAAAGTTGTGCTAAAAACTTCACCAGACATAGTGTATGGGATTCTCTTTGTTTTCTCCTGTTACCTTTATAAAATGTTTAATAAACAACAGTAATAATTCAACTTCTGATGGTGGCTGAAATATTAAAACAACCAAATGAGACATTTTTGCATGCTCCAAAGCCAAACAAAAGCAAGAAAAGCACCATGTAAACACTGAGGTACGGTACATCTACACTGAATGCAGAGTTCTTGTAAAGATGTATCAAATCATCATAACAAGTTTGTTTTAAAAAATATATTCAAATTGAAGTTATCTTAAAGTAATTTTGCCACAATATTTTAAAGATGAACCAATAAATGAATGTAACCTTATACAATAAAAGACTAATATGTAAATTGACCAAATGGTCCAGGATGCACACAGACCACCAGGGGGCAGATGCTCAATGCAGGAGCTGCCTCCCCTGGTGGTCAGTGAGCCACAGATGGCCAGTGACGTGGTGGTGGGGAGAGCCTCTTCTGCATCTGGGACAGCACTAGGGATGTCCAATACTGCCAGCTTAGGCCCGCTCTCTGAGCCTAAGCATCAGATTGACATCCCCTGAGGGCTCCTGGACTGTGAGAAGGGACAGGCCAGGCTGAGGACCCCCTCCCTAGTTGAGGAACATCTCCCCACTAGTGCACAAATTTCGTGCACCAGGCCTGCAGTATCAGTAGATTAACAGGATAAAATGCTGCCCACTAAACGACAAATATTCTTTTTTACCTGTCTTGCATTAAAAAATTACTGCTAACAAAACAGTCATACTTGGTATTTAAAAGGCTACCAACCAAGAGGATTACCTGCATTAAAAAAAAAAAAAAAAAAAAAAAAAAAAGATAACACCACCAGAAGGAAAGAAAAAGAAAAAAAGCAAAAAAAAAAAAAAAGCTTGTATTGCTAGGGAAAGAGAAAGATCCTAAGGCTAGCCTGCAAATAGCGGCTTTATTTTTTTTCAAGCCACTGTTCCCTCTTACAAGGTGTTAATAGGGTAAGAAAAAAGGAGCCCCGCGGTGGGCTGCTGCATTCAAGTGCGTGTACAGATGGGCCCTTGAGCGTTTCCCATTCGGAGCGGAGGCCGGGCCCGGGAGCCCGCAGCCGCCGGGGAGCGCGCAGGGCGGCCAGGTGGCGCGCAGGTGCCGGCCTCCGCGCTCCGCGCCGCCCGCCGGCGCCGGACCCTCGCCCTCCGGGCTGCCTCCGCCCGTTCCTCCGCGACCCCCCGCCCCCCCCACCTCCAAGCCCCACGCCCTGTACCCGCTCCTGCCGAGGACTCTCCGGGAACCCAGGTCCCAGCGCCTGGCCTCGGGGAGGAGCCTCCTCCCAGGGCCCGGGCCTGGCGCCTCCGAGGCTGGGAACTGGAATGAGCGAGGGGGCGGGGCCAAAAACGGAGGTGGTTGGCGGTTGCTAGGAGACAGCGTCTCCGGAAGGAAGTGGCTTCCCTACCCGCCGGGTCGCTCCGGTACCCAACACCTCCTCAGGGCCCCACGCGTCGCCGGGGCAACCGTCCAGCTGGAGGAAATGACATCATCCCGCTGGGTCCTGGGGGAGGCGGCGCCTTGGCCGCGGGGGCTTCCGTTGTTGCCTAGGAGACGGGACCGGTCCAGCTTCCACTCGCGCGCCCAGAGCATCGATTGAGCCGGTGGCACGAGGGCCTCCATCCGCACCTGCTGCGTGAGCCTTAGTTTTGCCACAAATAGGACGTGAAGCCTGTGACTCGGCCTGGCCGAATGGTGTGCGGACGAATGGGACAGGAGAGCACGGCGATGACGTTTGCAGACGCGGGAGTCTGACTGCAGGTTTGAATCTTGGCGCTCCTTCCCTTGTGCCCCTGTGGTGTCTGAAAGTTAGCATGGCTGTGCCCCAGTTTCCTCTTCTGAAAAATAAATAAATAAATAAAAGGATGGGAGATAATAAGAATGGCCAGCCCTCTGAACTGGGCGTATAAATGAAATAATACAGGTGGAATACTTGCAAGAGTGCCTGGGATTGAATTCAGTCAATATCAGATACGCTCTTCATGCAACTCAGCCACAAAGGTCCTGGACAGAAGTCACCCCTTGTCCACACTGCTTGAAAACTCATTCCAAGTGTTGGTAGTTTTTGTTTGGGGGATCAGTACGGCGGAAGACTTACAGAAGGGAAAAATCAGTATCTTGAGGAAAGACAACTATGACACTGTTTAAATGTGTTCATCAGCATCTCATGAGTGAGGGACACTGGCTATTGTTAGTCAAATTATGCCAGTATGTATTCTTTGATAGTATCACGTAGAGACAGACACATAAATTACTATATCGCAAGAGAAATAGGATTTCTCATTCAAACTCAGAACTTGTCGTCCTAAACAAATTATTTTTGTTACTAGAGTAGTGCCCTTAGTTAAATGCCTTCTACAAATATTGTTCTAGACAAAGATGCATGTTCTGAATGGATACTATCTCTACTCTCTGTATAGTGCTGTCTTGTGCCTAGTATAATTCTGCATACTTAACTCATATCTTTTAATTCAGTCTTTCCAAAATTCTTTAAAAGTGCTGCTTTTTATATCTACACTAGTGACCCAGTGCACAGATTTGTGTACATTAAAAGGAAATTAATTAGAAGGTGGTCTGTAGGACAGGACTAGGCAAGGTGGACAGGACATGCCCTGGAGCCAACCTTCCCCGCGGCCCCCCCTCCCCCTCAGCACACCTGGGGTGGCGCCTTGGCTCAAGACGTCTGCAGAGTGAGTGGGGTCCCTTGGCAGGTGGAGTCCCTCAGCCGGGCCTGCTGGGATCAGGCTGAAACCGGCTCTCTGACATCCCCCAATGGGTCCTGGGGTGCGAGAGGGCGCTCTGCAAAGTTGCTGTCATACAGGGTGTGGAATGCAAATGGAAGTGTGCAGTAAACGATATGATTCACGGTCGGCAGTGCCCCAGCAACAACATAACCCATGGTCAAAGGTGGAATTGCTTGGCCCCGTGAGGAATTGGGCTCCCTCCTCTATGATTTTGGAGTGTGTCACCCAGGAACCGCCACTGACAAGTCACTGCAGCTTGGCAGCTCCTGCGAGAGCGTCTTCCCCCTGGTGGTCAGTGTTTGTCATAGTGGCAGAGGGACACTTAGTGCCTTTTATAAATATAGATTTTACATGAAAAAAAACAGGCGATATGATAACATCTTGAGATTCAGGTAAGTTTGAAAATATATTATTTTCACCTGTGAAATCTCCCAGACAAGACTCGTTTGTTACATAGACCCTTATACTATTGTGGTTTTAAGAAATCTTCATTTTTAATAATGTTTTGTATATACAAAAACCACATTGTTCTTACTTAAGGAGCTGATCTAGTGCTTTATTTCTTTCCTGATCAGTAGCACACGCTGTATAATTTATTTTTATGTGTCATTTATCCCATGTTCATCTCCTCCTTTCATTCACCTGTTTAATATTGCTTGGCCCCTTCCTGCTTTGTGCTCCTTCCTTTTCAGACAAATCTGGTTTTGAGATAGAAAAGAAAAATAACTAATTTACATGTTTTGGCACAAAAACTTTGAGTTTTGGGGGAATGAAGATCTAATATTAAAGAAAGCCCAGGCATCGTTTAGTAGGAAATTTTCTTGTAAAAGGTAATTTATTTCAGGATTTTCAAGGGAAGAAGGGCCAAATCCAATGTTAGTTGATGAGAATAAAACAAAATTTCAACACTATTCACAAAAACTAATTTTTATTTTGCATTACACTCATTTTCAAATTCCATCATCATTATTATCATCATCATCATCCTTTGGGAAGACTTTTTTCCCAGGAGAAGGAAATCTCGCTGCATGCATTAGTAACCACATTCCAGCAGATGGCAGCAAAAGATTTAGTACCTGGGACTATATGGCAGGAAGATACTCATTAATATTTTTGGAATATTTTACTTTCCTTAGTGATTTAAAAATACATTTAAAAATAAACTACTTTAGCCGAAACCGGTTTGGCTCAGCGGTAGAGCGTCGGTCTGCGGACTGAAAGGTACCGGGTTCGATTCCGGTCAGGGGCATGTACGTTGGTTATGGGCACATCCCCGGTAGGGAGTGTGCAAGAGGCAGCTAGTCGATGTTTCTCTCTCATCGACGTTTCTAGCTCTCTATCCCTCTCCCTTCCTCTCTGTAAAAAAATCAATAAAAATATATTTTAAAAAATAAATAAATAAAAATAAAAAATAAACTACTTTAGAAACAATTTCACAGAACTTTTAAAATCATCAGCTTTTTCTTTATATTATAAAGTTAGAAAATTAGTGTTTTAATGTGACAGTAAATATTTTGTATAAATATTTTTGAAAGACTGTATAAGCTGCTTACCTGCCAGTCCATTCCCTACTCCCCAGCTCAGCCGTGATCATTGTTAATAGGTAGGATTCTTTTCCATACTATCTTTCCTGTGCATATAAAAATGTTCACGTTACATGTGTTCTTCTATAACCAGTTTTTTTTTCCACTTGAATATCCTTTTCATGTTAATCAACTACTGAATTGTGCATAATTCTTTGATTATATGATTATGTATATTTAAGAAAACCCTTAATATTACCTGTTAAAAACTAAAAAAATATTTGTTTATATTTTTTTATTTCACAAGTCTGTTTGTTGTCTCCTTTAAATATAACTTCATATATTAGTACAAATAAAAAAATGAAATGTGAAATAAAAATATAAATACTTTTTTTTTTTAGTTTTTAACAGGTAATATTAAGGGTTAAAGGAAGGAAGAATTATTTAAATATAAGGAAGATGTTCTATGGGTAAAAATAAAACTTTTCAAATTTCCTCATTATATAACTATTATTTCTAGCATTAGGAAGAAACTATTCAATATAGTTCTCCTAAGGAAATCCATTAGGTCATAGGAGGTAAGACTAACATAAATTGAAGCTCTTTGTGTTTACAATGGGCTATGATTAATGGTAAGGCATTGCTAAACTTTTGTATGTAACTTTACAGGCACTATATTTGTCCAATCATGGGTTTGATTTTTGGCATTCTATGTATATGTATTATAGTCAAACTTAAAATAAACTTTGATAAAAACTTGGTTATGCAAGTTTCTTAACCTTAAAATAAACTTTTGTAAACCCGGAGTAAATATCTAAGGTGATTCTATTATATCTTGGCCTGGATTCAAACATCAACTTTTTATTTTCTAGCAGCAAGTTCATGCAACCCAGAGCTCACTGATTTTTTTTTTTTTTCTGTTAGAAAGAATGAATAAGGAATATAACCTCTAAAATCTGATACCAATTTTTTCCTGCATTATACATTACAAGATCTCTTTTCCTTCTATAACTAAAGCCCACAAATATTTTTGCTAATTTATTTTCATTTTTTAAACAAATTTTTCCCCTTAAAAAGCCAATATTACACGTGTTAAAGACGTTTTTCCCTGCTAACTGTAAGTGAATCTGGTTTTTGTTTTTGTTATTTGCTGTAGATTGGGAGTGATGTGTGTCTGGGGTTGGTAGGTAATAGATAAAAATCAGTGATGCATATTAAATTATAGGTAGTATAGATTTTGTATTTTTTAAAATATACTTTTATCAATTTCAGAAAGAATGGGAGAGAGAGAGAGGAACATCAATGATGAGAGAGAATCATTGATCAGCTGCCTCTTGTGTGCCCCACTCTGGGGATCCAGCCTGCAACCGGGGCATGTCCCCTGCCCAGGACTCAAACCATGACCTCCTGGTTCATAGGTGGATATTCAACCACTGAGCAGCCACCCAGGTGAGGTTGTTTCTTATAGTTTAAAAAAGAATTGCCATTCTAGTTCTCTACTGGACACTATGTTTTGATTTTGTCCTTCAAAATCTTTGTGTACAAAGATAGATAGAATGACCTAGTTATGGTTTAACCTGTGCAAAGGAATAATCCCTTCTAAAGTCTGAACACTGCTAACCCAGTCTGAGCTTAGGTTAGCATCTTCCTAGGAGATGGGTTGTTCCACTCTTGGTTCATGTTGTGAACTTGTAATTAACCACATGCGGTGACTTTTCTATATGATTCAAAAGATTCTTTGAACCTAAATGTAGGATTTGATATTTTAATGTATTAAATAGCATTGTATGGTTTGGGGCATCTTTTTTCAATCTTTCAATCTACAGAAAACTTTTTCAGTTCTTTTTAATTGCCCAGACTACTATTTTTCATTTTGTATTATCCTGAAATTTAACAAGTACATATGTGCATGTGGCATGTGTTCATACAAGTTGTTTCTAAAAAGTATCACTAGGAGTTTTAATTTATGCATAATCTTGGTTGCCTTTCTAACCAGGTGTAATGAAAGGTGATTTTGCTGTTTTCCTCAGGTGGTGAATATAGACTGCTCTTTTAGAATTGAGAGCCTGAGCAAAAAAGAATCTCCTAGGTTTGTATGAAACCTGAAAACTAGTTTTCCTAAAACCATAATACTGAATCTGTCCACCATTACTGAAATATAAGTCCACTCTGTATGACAATTTTATACTAGAAATTACCTAAACACTTTAAATAACTAATCTTGCAGGTGTCTATATAAGTAATGAAAATGTAAATAATAGTTAAAGAAATATAGAACTCTGTGACTACACAACTGCTTCTGAGCCTGCCTTCTCACTCTATCAGGCAAATCTATATTTTATTATTAACACACACTTCATTTTGGAAGCATCTTTTAAATAGAAATGTCAGTTCTTCTAATCTTCCCACACAGCATCATTCAAAACCCTTCCCCACAATTATGTACTTCACAAAACCTTTCTTAATTGACCAAGTACAATGTGGAAATTGTCTG